AAGCAGAAAAAAAATTACTGGAAAAAATCACTGCTTGGACTCTCCGACTTTTGCAGAACTGTTTGCTTTGAAAGTGCTTAGGTGGCCTGCAGGATAAATGTTTGTATACATCATTATTTGTAGTGTATATTCACTGTGCCTGCATGGAGCACTGTTGAGCTGAGAAAGTGAGTCATAGAAGCAGCATCCATCCCAGGACACACAAAATTCTTACAACAAATGTTCCAAGATCCCAGTTACTGCCGTTTGCTCCTGCTTTCTTATTCCAAGGCACTCTGCTGAAATAGCAGCTGAGTTGTAAGCACAAGCAAGAGAAGGCAATAAATTTCTTACTTCTTACCACTGCTACTCTTAACTTTTATTTTTTGCCTTTATTTTCCATATGCTATGTTTACAGTTCTGGTGTTATTAAGCAGAAAGTTGGGCGGAGCACAGGAGTAGACACCTATAAATTCAAGTGCTGAAAACTGCACATCCTCAGTTTTAACATGTACCACCTCTATCCAGCATTCCCAGATAAATCCCATTTTGTCATTCACGAAATCTTAACCAAATGTTCTTGTTGGATCTACATAGAGTGAGTTATTTCTGTAGGGTTTCAATCAGAGATTCTGATAGTGTAGTGAGAATAAGTATTTATATATCAGCTCCTTTAATTCTTCAGTTCTTCAGTTAAAGGTCTTAGAGCACTTTCCCACTCCTAATTAATCCTTGAGCTATAAGTAGTTCAAGAGCAGAGTATCTAATCAGTGTCCTGGTTCTTGGGTCCCTTCAGACAGAATCCTCACCAAAGGGTGGCTTGTCCTTAAGTGCCCAGCTGAGCTCAGACTGTGGAAGTTAGTTACCAGGTGTAAATGTGATGGGATGGCAGACATTTCCATGCTCATGGCTACTGCTGACCTGTAGATGAAGTGTCATTGCCATTCACACCTTCAGAGTGCCCAGACAGTGTGGGAATACGCTGAGCATGACAATCTGCACAAAGGAAGTTTGCCAGGCAACCATCACCCTAACTATCCAAAAGGGTTTCTGGTGAGTGCTGAATTAATTGTCCTGGCATTAGAGCCAAGACAGTAAATCTGCAGTTTCAGCAGTCTTATGAACCATGCAAGGCTCCAGATGATTCCTGCTTACTTGAAAGAGAGTTTTCTATATCCTAAAAAAGAGTTATTCCTTCCTTTCTTTTCAGAGCAATACTTTTCTCTCATGCTGCTGTAATTCCATGTATTATTTCTCACTGGGAGGTACTTCCTTGGCACATTCACGAGTAATGGCAAAAAACTGCAGACGTAAATTTGCAAGAATGCTGGCACAGATCTAGCTTGAGTATCACCTGCTGTCCTTCTTTGGCTTGTCTGAATCCTAAACTGCTGTGTATGTTCGGGTTCCAGGAACAGCATAACCGTGGAGTTCAGAATGAGTAGGTTAAATTCACTCGTGGTGTCATCTAAGCTAGTTCATTTGGAGCTTGTATCTCTACACTGCACTGCTCTGCCATCTGCATTGTAGTTAGTCATCCAGGCTTCAGATTTTTTTTTCCTGAAAGAAAACTGTAGGAGGGGAAAACTTAATCTGAGAGTGTGTGCGTTCATACTGATTCCTGCGCTAGCTCTTTGTCACAATCAGTGCAGAAGGCGTCCTCAGGCGATGCCGCTTATTTTCTGCAACCTACCACAAATGCAGGCCTGAATTTCACTGTTTCTTCGTGAAGACTGTTTTGTGTGTTTGTTTCCCTTTCCATGGACAGCCCCTTGCAGTACTGCCACAGGACTCTCCAACAAAGGCTCTCTTCTCCACCACACACACTCTGCCACTTGTGCTCTGCTCTCTGCAGCTACCAGGAGCCAGGTGGGAGTCAGTCTCTTCTTCCATGTAACAAGTGATAGGACAAGAGGAAATGGCCTCAAGTTGCATCAGGGGAAGTTAGATTAAATATTAGGAAAAGTTTTTTGCTAAATGTGGTCAGGCATTGGAACAGGCTGCCCAAGGAAGTGGTGGAATTGCCATCCCTGGAAGGGTTAAAAAAACATGTGTCTGATGCTTAGGGATATGGTTTGGTGGTGGATTTGGTAGTGTTGGGTTAATGGTTGGATTTGATGATCTTAAGGGCCCTTTCCATCTGTATTCTGTGATTTTTGCTGTGATGTCTGTAGAGCTGTTGCATTCTCCATGTGTGAGTACTTGCTGTAGGTAAGGGAAGGACTATGCCAAGCTGACAGATTTTCATCACCATCCTCAGAGAAGTCAAGTGTATCATTCCTGTGCTGTACTTCTTCCCAAATCAGCCACCTACTCCTCCCACCACAGAGTGCACGCAAAGTTAAACTGCGAATCCGAGGAGGATCTTCATGGCTCCACCATCCTTTGCCACTCAAAGCTGTTAACTCGTTTGCTTCCTGCGTTAGGCTTACAAGGAGTTGATTGTGGGACCTTCTATTTGTGTAGAAGATGTGTAAAAGATGCTGGTCTGGTTCACTACTACATTTCAACTTTTAGCTAGTAGAAGGTGTATCTTTAGCTATTTTTCCAGCTCATAGAGCTATTTAGTCCTTGATGATTTGTTTTGGATTTGAATATCAAGCTTCAGAAATAATTAACTCATTTGAAAAAGAATACCAAAAGGAAACACAAGGTTCAATGGAAAATGAAAGTCAAGAAAACAAAACAAAAAACACAATTCTGGATTCTCCAAATACCCGTATCCTCCAAATTTCTCTGTTCTTTTGACCAGCAGAATGAACCTAAGCCATATCAAAATAAACATTTTTATGAAATGTCAGACAGTTTCTATGATATCTTCTGACTTATTAATGAGTTGTCTTTTTAATCCAGGTTCACAGGGTGCTATAAAAGGCTTTTCAAATAAAATCAAATCCAGACAGCCTCTCCAGAGGCTCTAGGGAAAGTGCCATCTGGCCTTCCTTCCTTTCAGCTGCTCTTCTTTATTACTGATGGGATCACTCATATTCTTAACACTATGAAGCCACCATTAGGAGAGATCAGCCTTCCTAACCAGCAAAGCAAGTTCTTGTCATTGCCCTTGATCAACTTAAATTGCTCTCTTGGGCATTTGTTCATTCAGACCTAGCTGAATATCCTTTTTAATTCTCTTTTTTCTGCGTTATTTCAAACACAGTCCTCATCCAGGAAGAGGACTTGAGCTTTTACTCTGCACTTGTAGCAGAAGAGATGTCACTTGAGGAGGGAAAGTATTGTAATACAGAAAAATATTATTACAGCAATAGCACTTGTAAAGTCCTTTACATCTTCAAAGCCCTGTGCCAGCTAATTTCTTAATTAATCGAAGTATACACTTTTATTCGTTTGTACTTATGAGGAATAATCTTAGAAACTGAAACTATTTTTAAAGTGTTCTTATGTGAAATTTCATGTGTACAACATTGAAAAAAAAAAAAAATTCTTTTTTGCCTTGCTGTGGCAACTAAATTAATTTTACATTGTCACTGTTTAATTTGCAGTGTGGGATGTATGTAAGTTACAGCACTGGAATATGTCTGACTTAGTGTGTACTATTTTACCATATATTTATAAAAGGATAAATTCTCATTGGATTCAGACCACAGACAATGAGTAGTTTGTGAAACTTGTAAATCCTCCGTGGTCTCAGCTGGAATTAAAAGTTTGATAGATTTCTGTACTCAAAAGGAATGATGATTCTATCTCACCTATTACCCTTTGAAGTGTATAGGAAGGGAAGTTCCCTGTAGCTGGGGATTGCCTTTATCAAGTGTAATAATAGACCTTTACAATTATGCTCTGCTGATTTTGATTTGAAGAAGGGTAGATCTCAGAATTAACTAAGCTCATACAGATTTCATGGTAATGATTAGCCAGATTAGGGAGGGAGAGCTGAATTAGTGCCTTTGCTGGGAGGAAGGTGGGAAGTGACTTGCAGCCCTTGATACTCGTTGTCCTACACGGGGGCCAGGATAAGCTGGGCTATTGTAAAGTGATGCAGGCCGAGGCAGAGCAGTGGGTTGAGCCTGCCATGAAAGGAAAAACACCTGTAAGAAACAAAGTATTTTTACACCCCCTAATCATTGGAGAGCTTAGGCTTCTTGTTATTACTGCTCTTCTGCATGATATTATCTGATAAATGCCCAGTATGTTTTTAAATCCTTCTGAGCTCTTTGCTTTAGAGATACTCTGACAGTGCCATCAAAAGGCTATCAGATGAATGAGTGTAAATCCAGGGTAAAAATGTATTCAGGGTAAGTCTGACCAAAAAAAATCAGTAATGAAATTTGAAGATTGCTAAATACGCTGGATAAATACCTCTTCAGTTTGTGAGATGGCATTTAGGCCACATGGGAAGGATTACTACCAGAGCACTGGTCATTCATACCTTCTGGTGTAGCCTGGAAATTCTCTCTGTTGGTGCACATTTTTTCATCGGAAACTCCAGGTCCATGTTGTGGAGATCCTGGAGAGCTAGTTTTGCTTCACTGAGGTGAAAGTGATCAGTACTAGCTAATTTGTGATCTTGATAATACCTGCCTGTAGTTCTTTTTAATTTGAAATTACCTTTGCTTCTTCTGCTCTTGTTATTCCGGCTGAATGCCCTGATTTTTCCCCAGTGATCTATGTGCTTACTTCAGACAGCAAATGAGATATCTATGATGTGTAGTCAATATAGTCCATGTGATTATGGAAGAAAGAAGTAATGTTTTGGTAGCAAATGGGAACACTTTTGTCTTGTTGGTTTGGGTTGTTGTTTGTTTTTTTTTTCATTTTTAGATTATTTCTATTTTGCAGCTTGAAGCAAAGAACAGTCAATACCAAATGTGTTTGTTACGAATGCCTTAAAAATACATGCTCTATATATATATGTAGGTATACAGAAATCTGGCAGCCATATGGGATTTTCACACACCTGTCAGTGGAGTGAGTAAGTTTGAATGTGAAATCTCACATTCTGCACCAGAATGTAAGAACAGAGCCCCAGGGACATGGGTCGTGTGCTGAGCGTATCAACTCACCTCCGAGGTAGCACTTCTACAGGGCACCACACTGTTGACTGTTATGGCAGTATCAGCTGTATTTCCCCTGGAAAGGTAACATGGAAGCAAGGAAAACTAATTAAAAATTGCAAGTGTGAAACAGGGTAGCAATTTTTCTTGGAATTGTTGCTCTTATGTAATGCCGCAGACTGTGGTTTATGCATGCCACCTACACACAGCTATGAAATATTGCTGTGGCTTACATTAGTGAGATATTGGTCACTTTTACAAATGTTTTCTTCAGTAAATGGGAGCTGAATTTTAGCATGAATGTTATGTTGGTCAAGGACATTCAACCATGCGCTGCTTGTGTCTTACTCATGCAGCGGCAAATTGTTATAAGGCAGTGTCATGTTTACACAGATCCTTGGGAAGCCTATGGTTTGAAACTGTCTCTTATAAAAAACAGGTCATAAAACCCTAATTAGTGCACAAGACAACAAACTGTTGTAATCAGGCCATTTTAGGGAGCCTCTGTGATATGCACGTGAACTGTGTAAACCCCTGAGAATAGAATTAGGCTCTAAAAGCCAAATCCAGTAGCACAGATATTTTTTTTTGCTGTTTCTTAATGAGCCAGGGTTTATCATTTGGAATATTCTCTGCCCATATTGGATTATTCCCGGTCAGCATCACTGGAGAATCCAATTACTGGACCTCAGCTGTCCTTTCCTCTGAGAAAGACAGACACATCAAAACCGTTACTCTGATTAAATCCTGATATGGCTTCCCTACATTCTAGGGAGCTTTTCCTTCATGCAGGCTGCTGTAGTAAGAGCCAGCAGCACATGCAGAAACACTGCTCATGCCTCTGGCCTGGAGTGATTTTTTTCTCAGCTAGTAAAGGTGCTGAACACAAAGAGACAAATGAGGAATGGGGTGGAACAAGCAGCTGAGAACAGGAGGAAAGGGATACATATATAGGACTATCTTTTGCTATGCATGAAATGCAACACCCTGTTCCCACATTGTGACGCACATCAGTCGGTCCAGATGGTGAGAAGGGTTGGGTTTCTGCCTGGGGCTGCCGGCACAGGCTTCATTTGCATTCCTCAGCCCAGTTGTTCATGGAAAAGCATCCAGGCAATGCACAACCGCTCACACAACTGTGCTCACCTTCCCAAAAACAACATTTCTTCATGGCACCAAAAACTGGGGGAGTTTTACAGGCATAGGAAATGAAAGGAGCTGGATCAAGTGTTCAGGTTCCAAATGGAACCCTCTGAGAATCATCACCAGTGATGTAGATATTCATGAAGATATTCAAGAAAATCCTCTTCAATAAAGTGTTCATTCCCACTCTATGCTCGAACAAATAGCCTTGAGTTTGTGTAAAACACAAAAAATTCCTGGAGCTCAATTCTGAAAGAGCAACTTCTGCTCCCTTGTAAAAAAGTTGCCGTACAAATGCCTTTCCAGTGGCTGATCCCTGGCTGTCTTTTACCATTACAATAACCAGTTTTGCTTGTTAGGGACTAACACCGAGTGTTAATTTGTGGCATGTGCAACAATTGTGATTGTTATTGCTGTAATTAATCCCATTTGAAAATGTTTAGTTTAATTGATTGCATTAATGGGTCTAAGCTTTAGGTGTTTGGTTCTGTTATTTTGTATCTATACATTGATTTTTAAAAACTATGCAAGCATATGGGAAAAAGAAAGCATCAGAAAAGTGAAGAGTTACAAATACATCCTTATAATTTAGAGGATATTCTTGAAACCTTTCAGCATTTTTAGGAGGATTTTAAAATGGATACAGAATTTCACCTACCAAGTATATTGCTTTTAGCAGTCATTCTGCCTGGAGTATTGCTTTTAGGTTATCCATGCTAATGTCCCTGGAATTTGCCTGAATAATTTCCATTCATGATAGTAGAAGTAACGAACCCTGTGTTAGTTGCTAAACGAGAACTGTGTCTTTAAGAAGGGAAGATTTCACGAAGATTTAAAAAAAAAAAAAAAATCATGAAAATTGTTACTTAGAGGATACTGAAGCTACATTTACTACTGCATTAAGAAATGTTTAAGCACAGAATTTGTATTGGTAGATGGTTTCTTCTTTGAGTTTTGCCTCTCCCCCAAGTGCAGTTGCTCATTCCACCTTAACAAGGTGCAGTGATTGACAGGTAGAGATGTTGCACAGAGCAGAAGGTGGGAGTGTGCTCTATTGGTTTGTGCTTGTACATCCTGAGCACCAATTACTGTCACTGCTGCCAGCACTGATGTGTTTATCAGGATGAGTTATAGCAGAATATATGTACACAGGCAGTGTGTATGCTGGATGACCACCCCCTGTGATGTAAAATATGAGAGTCTGGGAGCTACCGTTTTATAATTCATCAGGTTCAGCAACTGAATGTTGTTGGTTGGCTTAGTTATAAAGGCAAGTGTGAACCGAACAGCAGACAGGAGCATCTTGCATTGTGAGTCCTGCGAAGCTGCATTTGGTGACTGGGCTCCGCTTTTGTTCAAGTGAATTCAGTCCTCGGTGAGTAATGGGGGTTCTGTCGCGCTAAAGCTGTTATTATATAAGCTGGGGAAACCTGCCTGCTAGTTTTATGTGTATTTTGCTGCTGGAAGTCCTTGTCGGTGGTTGTTTTTAGATTTTGCAATATTTTCAGTTGTGTACATTACTGGCACAAAATGAGGTGAAAAGAAAAATTCAATGATGAATTATTCACCATCGTGCTGCGAGGATCTCTTTCCTAGCTAAAGTTACTTTCCTTTAGTGAGTGTGTTGGGGGTTCAAAGAAGCTACAAACCAGCGAATCTACCTGTCATTAAACTGCTTTTATTAGTGTTTAAAGGGAGAGATAGCTATGGCTTTTGTAACAAGAGGAAGGAAAAGAATAAGCAGTTAGAAGCATTTACAAATTCTTTGCTTTTTTCTACATGTGGCTTTTCAGATGCAGCAGTAAATCTTTTGTGTGCAGTGAGGGGCTGCAAAGAATTTGAATTGTAGAGCTTTTTAATTAGATAATCAGTAAAACAGTAGCTTCTTTCTGGTTTTGTGGTAATATGCTTAGTATCACATTAAAATGAATGATTCCCCATCTTGCATAACAACAGTGCTGAAATATGTGTAAGATGAAAGGCAAAGGGAGACTTTGAAACAAACTGTGGAAACATGCTATAGCACAGCTAGGCAGAGAAAGGTATATTTCCTATAGCGTCTGCATGACTTCTTGAATTTCACCAGCTTTACATTCTTAGCTCTAATTATCACTTGCTTCTTTTTGACCTCTGTATCTTTTCAAGCAAGCTCCATTAATATGACAACATTATCTTGCCAGTAACCTTTAAAGATCAGTAAGCCTGCAATTTTCTGTTGTTTTAATCAGAAAGAAACTGAAAAGCAGAAATTTATGGAACTGAAATATTAAGATTGCCATACAATACCTGTATCTCTCCTCAGGAGAGGCAAGTAGCAACGAGTATCAGTTTTACTTTTTCTTTTATCAGTAGCAGTATTATAGTCATTGCTTTTGTCTCACTGTACCGGGTTTGGGGTTGTTTTTTCATTCTCTGTGGGTTGGAGACGCAAGTTTGTATCCAAATATCAAGAGAGCTTGGCAGAACAGCACCTGTTGTCTTATTGCTGTATTATTAATACAGACACTCTCTTTCAGAGACCTCTCACCTGGTATCAGTCCAAATTGTTTACTCTGTAGAGATTTAGACTTGTATTGTGACTTCTCACTTAGAAATTATTTGTTCAGTGAGTTATAGGTGAAGCATCAAAGCTGCAGGACTGATACTGGTTTAATTAAAAAGGTATCTCATTTTAGTATCAATTTTTATTTAAGGAGAAAAGCTATTGGCACAGTGGCCTTTGCCATTGATTTTCTTTGCCAAGCAGATTTGCACTTACTCTTTATAAATCATAAATTTGAAAAAAATCAGATTTTTTTGTGACGATTATTTCCTGGCCGCCTAACAGACTAGAACCTATTTCTAGGAAAGAGTGTATACCTTTGTCAGCAGTACTTTATTTAAGAGTATTGCACTGCTTTTTAAGCATTCAGATCTATTTTCAGTGACCCCTGTGCCAGAAAATGGGTTTCTTGAAGTGTGAGCTTCTGGCTTTGCAAGTTCTCCTCCTTTCAGAAATCTGTGATACTGCATCCATCTGTCTAGGCATTTATATTGCATGCATCACAATGGTGTAATCTCAGCAATATGAACATTAACCATGTAAATGTATGTACTGTAACTTAGGAAGTATAAATTAGGACAGGAAAAGCAACCCTAAAAGGAGAAAGTTATGATATGGGCATATGGGCTCTTGTGGGAACCAGAGATCCAGACTCGCTATTTGTTATTACACAATAAATTAAGCTGACAACAAGTTCGGTCTCCAGGCAGTGGTATGGAGGCTTGGGCAGAGATGAAACCAGCTTCCCAAAGTTCACTCCAAATAAGACCAAGGAAAATAGCCAGAGGATGTGGCAAAAATCCCATTTTCTCCTGAGTGCATGCCTACTGCTCCTTTGTGGTCATATCCCTGGAGGGATGCTGAAGGAAAAACAACAGTGACGAAGAATTGTGTTTCACATCATCTCGATCAGGAAGACACAGACGTTTTATCTGGATATTAGTTTGGTGCTGCCATCCATGCTTCCCACCTGGCAGTAAGCAACAGCAGTGCTCTCCATGGAATGTCTTAAATGCCCTTAGGGCTGGTCCAGGAAACAGCCATCCCTGTTGTTAGTGCTACATGCTGCTGGAAACACTGCACCACAACTCCAGGAGTGTGCTGGCTTCCTGACCATTTCTGGAGAGAGGTAATATTTTAGTATTGGTGCATAGCACTCTTGAGTAGCAGAAATCTGCTCTCCAAGAGGAATCTTGCTCTGCTTTTATATTTTGGTTACAGATGAAACCAACCCACATTATCTTTTGTATAAAATATAGATGCCCAGGAAAAATATCTTCGATAAAAGTCCTGAGCTCAGGAATTGATTTTGTTTATCTTTTTCCTTTGGTCTGAAACACCTCCTATTTACTGACCTTCAGGGTTGCTGTGAAGTCCCCTGGCAGCTTGTG